AATAAATAAATAAATAAATAAAATTCAATAAATCATTCTTTTAAAAAAGAGAACACCTCGACAAGGCTATGGGGTAAGTACTAAACAGGATGGCACTTAAAAAAATCACATTTGCTTGATGACAGCACACTTCTATGCCAACTATGTTTTCCTTTTCTATTTTTTCAATTTCTAAAGGGTAAGTATACCTGCCAGAGGGGGAGAGAGAGAGAGAGACAAAGACAGACAGGGATAGGGAGAAAGCACATCCAGGTGGGTCACGGTCATGCCACCACACCTTCCCTATTTCTACATTCTGTTGGGAAATGGGGTACACACAAATGCCTGGCATGTTCTTCAAACCCCTGAGGCTGGAATTTGGAGCTGGAAATTGAACTGAGGTTGGCCATGTGGTATATGGCTCCCCTTAACCCCTAGATTACAAAACCAACCCCATATAGGTTTCTTGATAATTAAATCTAAGGATTTCAGTAATTCAACTGCTTAATAACACATAAAAAAAGTAGCTGATTATCAACTTTTTGTTTTATTGAGAGAAAATTTTTTTGCTATAGGCCGTGCTGCAAACCCTTTTCCATTCTCCTCTTGGGATTTTGTGTAGGCATGCACATGTGCCCAGTGTGTTTCTAGTCACCTAGTCTGGGACTCAAACCATAGTCAGCCAGGTGGGAGTCAAGTGCCTTAACTACTATGCCACCTGCTGGTCCCAATTACTGACTTTTACCTTGGAAAATATATTTAGAAAAAGCTAACCTTTGAGTACTTATTAGTACTAGTCACTGTGCTAAAGGGGTTTATGTGCATTAACTAATTCAGTTCTATGGGGTAGGTATTATTAGGATACCTATTTCACAGAAGGGCAATGGAGCTTTGATTCTGTACCTTACTCTGCTAATAAAGGATACATCTGTTTTTTAAACCCAAAACTATCTGGACTTCAATATTCTCAACTCTGTTCCTATTCAAAACAGTTGTCTCCAAGTACAATTTGTGTCCATGTATAATAGTAGACATTAAAGTTCCCAGAAAATTAAAGTGACACTATAACACAAACTTCAAAACAGTGACTAAATTTCCCTTTAAGCATTCTCTTAAATAGGCCAAAATAATTCAAGACCTTGAGCTTTCCTAAACCTTTAATCATTTATAGTGCTTTCTGCTGTACCTAACCATTAGAACAATTTTAAAAAACATTAACACTGCCAATTATTTTCAAAAGCCCAGAGATACTAATCAAGTGATCCTAATAGTCTTAAACACTATCCTCAAACCAAAAGATAAATGGAGATTATGAAACTTGTATTCTAAAGTGCCACCATCCAGATAAAATTACCCTGTGAATTAGAGTAATTTCAATCAGATCCTATAAAATTGAACATTTTTCTCAAGATCAGAATTAGACAGTAACTATAAGATAGTTTAAGGCCCAAATTCTGGAACATAAAATGGTTCCACATAGGAAATGTAATAGTAAAAGGCATGCAATAGGGCCTGGGGAGAGCAACGGTTAGGAGAGTAATACATAAAATTGCAAAATGATTAACCTATTAATCTCATGGCCCTTTTACCTTAACACAAGACTGCAATTACTCTTAAAGGTCACATGCTGTTTCAGTAATGCCCACTGTCTTACATTACGTGTCCTGGGTTTTAGTGTGTAAACATATTACACACTAAAACCCCAACTTTATATGCAATAGGAACTCAATTACTTTTTCCTAAAAGTCATGTGCATTTACATCTAAAACATTAACATGAAACTGTTTATATAAAAATACAACCAGAGAAGGTGTATAATTTGTTACTTCTCTAGCTCATTAATACTCTCAAAAAGGACTATTTTAAGATGTAGATGACCATACAATAAATAATTCATTTTAATTGTCGCATTGGCTATTTATTAATAAGGTATTGGACATATTAAAAAATACAAAAGATCAAATTATCATACTAGAATCGATTTAATATAATGTACTCACAAGATACAAAGTTATTAAGTATAAGAAGTGTAGGCAGGAGATTCCAATTTAATTGCCTGACAGGAAGCACTAACTATGGAAGTTTAGAAACAGGAATACAAAGTTCTGTTTTAGCACAAAAAAGGAGGAAAACACACTGGTGAAGGGGGTGGGGGAAGAGGAAGTTCTTTTTAGTGAACTATCTGCCATATTCCTTTTGAAGATAATCCAAATCATTCCAAAAGTTTTTGTGTTTTTTTTAAAGTCCTCAATTTTTTCACTAGGTTTATGTGAGAACATACTTTCCTAGGTGTACTGGAGACTAGATTTTGCAAGTTTCACTGTAAGAAAACAGTTTATAGCTCACATTTTATGCATTCATAGGGAGACAAGGTGGCTTATAAAGAATCATTTTTTTACATGTGAAAAGTCTCACAACACTGTGAATATACTTAACACTGCTTAGCTGTACACTTAAAAATGATTAGGATGGGAGGCCATAAAGTGGTGTGGTGGTTAAAGGTGCTGGATTTCCACATGGCCAATCCCGGTTTGAGTCCTGGACCTGGCAGCCTGCTTTCTCACTCTCTGGTCAAATTAAAAAATAATAACAAATTGAATTAAATAAATCTTTTTTTTTTTTTAAAAAAAAAGGTTAGGATGGTCAATTTCATGTTGTGTTTCCACCATACAAATTGTGCGAATGAGAAATTACACTACTTAAATGTTAACAGTAACTTATTATGTAAAACTTTATTACTCTAAAGACAAAATCCTCTTACGCTTAATTTTTAATAATTTGTTGTTACTTTAACAGCTGGATTAGTTTTATGTAATTAATTTCTAAAGATACTTTCATACATGGGCAAGTTCTTTAATCCTGAACTACAGGGTGAAAGTGAAGCACTATTCTCAATTAGCATCTTTCAAATCATCTGAATTACTTATTGCCAACAAATACTAGTTATGAAATTATAAGTGTGTGTTCCTACTTCAGTTGATTCTTTCATTCAGTGAAGTGCAAATCTCGAAATTAAGAGAGTGAGATTCCTAAGTGAACAGGCTTTTCTTTAAGCAGTTGTTCTCGATTGTGAGGTAGGCGACACTCCCACATCTCAGCCTTTAGGCACCAGAACACTCAGGTCAACCATTTCTAATCACCTTTCGTGCCTGGCTCTGCCTTGCCATAAATTTGTCAGGCTTTTATAAACTCCCACCAAGTTGTACTGAGAAGAGTGTACAACCTAGGTTAGTTTGGTAGATCGGGAAACGCCTAGATTGGCTATTTATTAATAAGGTATTGGACATATTAAAAAATACAAAAGATCAAATTATCATACTAGAATCGATTTAATATAATGTACTCACAAGATACAAAGTTATTAAGTATAAGAAGTGTAGGCAGGAGATTCCAATTTAATTGCCTGACAGGAAGCACTAACTATGGAAGTTTAGAAACAGGAATACAAAGTTCTGTTTTAGCACAAAAAAGGAGGAAAACACACTGGTGAAGGGGGTGGGGGAAGAGGAAGTTCTTTTTAGTGAACTATCTGCCATATTCCTTTTGAAGATAATCCAAATCATTCCAAAAGTTTTTGTGTTTTTTTTAAAGTCCTCAATTTTTTCACTAGGTTTATGTGAGAACATACTTTCCTAGGTGTACTGGAGACTAGATTTTGCAAGTTTCACTGTAAGAAAACAGTTTATAGCTCACATTTTATGCATTCATAGGGAGACAAGGTGGCTTATAAAGAATCATTTTTTTACATGTGAAAAGTCTCACAACACTGTGAATATACTTAACACTGCTTAGCTGTACACTTAAAAATGATTAGGATGGGAGGCCATAAAGTGGTGTGGTGGTTAAAGGTGCTGGATTTCCACATGGCCAATCCCGGTTTGAGTCCTGGACCTGGCAGCCTGCTTTCTCACTCTCTGGTCAAATTAAAAAATAATAACAAATTGAATTAAATAAATCTTTTTTTTTTTTTAAAAAAAAAGGTTAGGATGGTCAATTTCATGTTGTGTTTCCACCATACAAATTGTGCGAATGAGAAATTACACTACTTAAATGTTAACAGTAACTTATTATGTAAAACTTTATTACTCTAAAGACAAAATCCTCTTACGCTTAATTTTTAATAATTTGTTGTTACTTTAACAGCTGGATTAGTTTTATGTAATTAATTTCTAAAGATACTTTCATACATGGGCAAGTTCTTTAATCCTGAACTACAGGGTGAAAGTGAAGCACTATTCTCAATTAGCATCTTTCAAATCATCTGAATTACTTATTGCCAACAAATACTAGTTATGAAATTATAAGTGTGTGTTCCTACTTCAGTTGATTCTTTCATTCAGTGAAGTGCAAATCTCGAAATTAAGAGAGTGAGATTCCTAAGTGAACAGGCTTTTCTTTAAGCAGTTGTTCTCGATTGTGAGGTAGGCGACACTCCCACATCTCAGCCTTTAGGCACCAGAACACTCAGGTCAACCATTTCTAATCACCTTTCGTGCCTGGCTCTGCCTTGCCATAAATTTGTCAGGCTTTTATAAACTCCCACCAAGTTGTACTGAGAAGAGTGTACAACCTAGGTTAGTTTGGTAGATCGGGAAACGCCTAGAACGACCAGCTTGGCTTGACCACCTCCGGAAAATCTGCAGGAAAAGGACACTGGGAAAAATCTTTCAACTTAGGGCAAACCCCCTTTTCAAGTCTTATCTTACTCCCTTTCCCGGTGAAGAGCTGTGTTCTCGAAAAATCTACCCCTTTCCAACTCAAATGTCATTCCCAGAACTGCTGCTTGAGAGGCAAGTGGCGTGTTCAACCCACGCCCTCTTCTTCGAGCACCTTCTCGCTCGACAGCCCCCACACACGCCCTACAGGAAAAGGGGACCTGGCCCACGACCCCGGCCCGCCGCGTCTGCGGGGGCTCCTAGCCCGGGCGGCTGGGGCGGCCAGCGGGGACGCGCTCCTGGGTCGGGTGGGGTGACCTGGGTCGGCGGCAGGGGTCTTTCAGGAGCGGGGAAAGGCGTCCTCACCTTGACCCTGATTTCGTAGGTGGTGAAGCGGCCCCGGCCGACCCCCACCGTCTGCGGGTTGCTCACATCGATCTCGAGGAAGTTGCTGGGCGGCCCGTAGGCGTCGTTCAGGTTCTGCGGCTTGGTGATCAGCCGCCGGGTGTCT